TAATGAAGTAGGAAACATCTACTTTCCAATTTATTATAATTACTTTCCAATATATTAGACCAAGCCTTTTATCCTTCCTTAAATAGGATAGCCATATTCTTGTCAATTTAACTCTATAATCCTTTATGTCAGGTATAGTATTTCCTACAACCAACAAATATCCAATAATTTAACTACGAACAATTTATTAATCTATTTTATCTTATACATATGCATTTAGGGTTGATGTAAATTCTCAACCCGTCATAAGTGCCATATAATTTGTGCACGCTTTCATAAAAACAGCATATGTTCTTTTATACTATACCTAACAAAGGATTAGAGTTAAACTAATAAGTTTTTTATGTAAAACTATAATCATTATTATTCAAGGACAACAGATTTTTTTACTTTTATCAAAGATTGTATGAAACTCACAAAATCATTATTTTTTTAGTTTGAAAAGCATGTGTATAAAATGATTATATCAGTGATCATGTATGTGTATATGCAATTATAATATAGACAAGCATATACAGGGCATTTCAAAAAACATTAACACTAATGTGAATGTAACTTGTTATTTAACTTGATAGTTCATAACAACCCAACTGCAGAGTTTAAAAAAAGTATGATCCTACTATTCCTCCACAGTGACTGTATACCTTTTTCATATACATGCTAGCAAAGGACTCTGCACATTGCAATGGTTATATTTAATAGTCATACATACACAATGATTGTATTAATATCTGTACATGCAACAATTATATTAATGGCCATATATAAGTAATGATTGTCAACAGCATATCTAGGTATCCTATAAGGCATTGGATACTTTCCAGTATGCATCAATCTCAGCCATAACCGATAACGGTTTAATAAGCTTTTACTGGAATGTCTGGCAACCTAATAAGATGGCAGAATCAAACAGCTCTGTGTTGGCATTTGCAGACTTATTTTGTCAAAATAACTTTGGACTAATATGGATTACTAGTAAAAATGTTGTTAATACAACCATGGAAGCAGCCATATTGCTTCATTCATCACTGCTTACCACATCTGTGGTCTGACAAGTGCAATGTGCATTGATTGTTGCATAAACAAACTTGTCAGTGAATATCTAAACACATTTAGTACACTTCAGTTCACCAATGCACTGATGCATACTGGAATGTATCCATCAGAAATAAGTTTGTGCATAAATTTTGCTTCATCTCGTAGATAAATCAACAAAGGCTAAAAAAGACTAAATCAACATAAAAATAAATATTAAAACATATTTTTATTTTTTCTATATTTTACTTATTTTTAACTGTTGGTTAAAGAACAGAATTTTGGTATTAGTGTAGTATGCCTCCATATTAGAATGTTTAATTCTTCATTTTTTAGAAATCAAAATAAAGACCAACAATGTTGCCAAAAGTTTATCAGCCTTTATTTTTACTTACAAAATGAAGAAATTAAACAAAAATAAAAAAAATTATTGTATTGGTATAAAAATATGCTTGTTGATTCACCATTCAGAGCCTGTACACACTAGGCGTTTTTCAACGCGCGTTAAACGCCGAGCTAACATGCGTTAGCTCGGCGTTCGACGTGCGTTAGTTCGGCGTTAGCACTGGCTCAGTTTTAAAATGGACGTGAAAGTAATTGATTGTGTGTGCCTCCTCCATCGTCGCTATAAGGCAGCACATATATCTCAAAGCGCCCGTAAAGTGCCCGCAAAACGTGCGTTTTAACAAAAATCTATAAACGCGCGTTTAACGCGCACTTGACGTTTGAGTGTGTACGCCTACATAGAACTCTTGGTTCTTTAAAACGCGCGTTGAAAAACACCTAGTGTGTACAGGCTCTCAACGATATCTTAGCTGAGATAGCATGTCAGTTTCCTTTGAATTCATTTATTTTTTACTTTTTTTTGTATAAATAAAATTTTGTAAAAAATTTTTTAAAAAGTTCTACTATGGAGACAATCTACCACGACGGGGATTAAAGTTTTCTCATGTGGAGACATACTGTACTAATACCGAGCATCGCTCTTCCACTCTCCCGAAATATACCTGTAACAATTATATTGACAGCTAAACACTTATAATAGCTAAATTGACAGTAAACACATACAAATAATTAAATAAATAGTAGCACATACATATAAATATGCTATGATCAATATTATTTAATTATTAACTGTAGCATGTATATAACTGTCACAAGCATAAAAATCAATTTACAGCCCTAAAGCAAGAAATCCAATGCAAATTGTCTAAGAAACTAGAAGTTACTTTTAGGTGTATGTTTATATATATAAAGGTAAAATTGCAGTTCTGAATGAGAAGTTTGGAACCCCCAACAATTCCTTTGACTTTTTTATTCCTACAAGCATATTCTACAGCACTTGATAAAATCACAACCACACCATTCACATACAATTACAACTCCAAACGAGACGGACGAGACCTCATCAGAGCCATCAATCAATCAATCAATCAATCATTTTATTTTTTACATGTAATATACATATATCCTGACCCCGCTGTGGCATTATCAGGAAAAACTATACAATAAGTTTAATTAATATTACAATATAAAATGTATAATACAGTATTAATTTATATATTATTTGTTATNTATAACTAAACGTAACGTTGGAAAAATAAAATTAATAACTTTCGTAAAACATCTGCAGAAGACCTTTCGTGACTCACAGCTGAAATTGGCACCGCAACGCCACTCGCGGGATTTTTTTTTTTTTTTTTTCCTTATTTTTAATATAATTAAACCTAACCTGAACTCGTACCGTCGAATCGAAAATTTCATTAAAATGGAAGAATTTGTCTTAAAATTGTTTTCGGTTGGTAAAATTTAATTAATTAAACAATCGTACTTTTGTGAATATATAAATATTACGTTATCAATCCAAAAGGGTCAAATAACCCCAGGAATTTTTCGGTGTGTGGTCTATCATGATATATCGGACTGCAATCCTCGGCATACAGCCGCCCCATTGCGGGTTTGGTAAAAATGGCCCACTTAATGCTCACGAGGAATAAAGAGTTAACACTAGATAAATTAAGCTTTTTGCCATTTTTTTAACAGTTAAAAATATAAAAAGTTTTTTATTATAAAATATCATAACAGATGGCGCAACTAAATCTTGCTGGAAAGTTAAGCAACTCGTTGCTGGATTTTTTTTATTTACTATTTTCAGTTATTTTAATGAAGAAAAAAGAACATATTTACCTTTCTGAAGTTTTCTGAATTGATAACCTGCCGCGAAATAACGAAAATATATGAGATAAAGCCGGAATTTTCGGAAATTCTTACATTTCAATATGGCGCCCAGCCTATATGAACAACAAAAATTCAAAATTATTATTGGTTAATTCAAACTTTATCAAAAATAATAACAACAGCAATTATTTATTGTGACATCGTCACAATGCTCTCGATTTTAGTATTGTGTTGCCCCCTGTACAGTACATCATACTTTTCAAGTTAATTAATGTAGTTACGATATTTTTTATTGCAGGATAACGCTAGGTATACCACAAATTACGCGCTCCATCTGAGCAATAAGCTGTCCTCGGCGCCAGGTAGGTATTAGTCCATCAATCGGAAAGAATTTTAGAACCCGGAAACAAATTGATGGACAAGATAGATGACGACCTAAGAAAAAGGACTGACGATGTAACGCTGTTGTTCGCAGAGGAGTGGAGAAAAGATAGATAGACATCGAGGTCTTCGGTCTACGACTGCACTATATTGAGGACGAAGAAGCACGAATTTCGTTATTTAATGGGCCACCAGTGGTCAAGCAGTCTTCGTACCCTGAACACTGGGAGTTCGGTCGAGGGTTCGCGCTTCGCTCGGACGGGTTGGCCATGTGGAGTTTTCCGGATTTTCTGCACGTTTGTAACACGTAAATAGGGGCCAGTTTCCCTTAAAAAGACCTCCCGGAAGACAGATCGCCCAAGTGTTGCGTTGCCATAACTTAAATAAAATGATAAAAATAATCTTAACAAATGAGAGCAAGTGGAAAAAATGCCCTCCAAATTTTCCAGAAAGGAATCCGAAATTATCGGTCAAGATTGAAGAGTAGGGAAGTGATAGTACAGGAAAAGGATTTTCTTCTCGTAGCCATTCTCAATCATGCAGTTTCTCATTGGTACCAGTGATGGACTATGGCACAGGCGCAAGAAGCGCATTCTTTGGACCTCCGAAAGACAGCAGTTTCAGAAAGAGATACAATCTGCGAATCTCAAGCACAAATATCTTCATCTAGAGTCTAGACAAATTGCCATTAGTCAAACCATAAACGGCCTAGTAAACCTGTTAAACCTGTCCTATTTCGAGAGATGGTAGGACTTAAATTAATAATGAACTTTGTCATTTGCACCAGAGCATACTCGCATCTGCCAAGACTCGTCGTCACTTGTCTCGACCGACGTGGAGCACTAAGAATAAGCAGTATATCAATTCTAGATAAAAACAGACCTTTGGAGGCGAATATCCGGCAAAGGGTCGCACGTACAGATATGGTTTCATCAACTTTTCCATTCACACAAGGGGTCCGTCTATAACTCTGGGAGGTGGCAATCCCTCAAGTTTGCATCTTATCCCAACAAGGTCCCAACCAGTGGTGATATTCGAAATATTTAACAAAGGGTTCGCTAACAGAAAATTTTTCCTTAATTTTTTTTCGCTCAAATGGTGCATCGGAAGGCTCTAGTTTAGTAGTGTTACAGAGTATAATATGTATATTTTAATATATATTTTTAAAAAGAATCAAAACCATTGAGAAATGTTACATGTGTTTAACAAGGTTCGGAAAACTTTGAAAATGTTAACAACGGGTTCGGCCGAACCCGTGCGAACCCGCTGAATATCACCACTGGTCCCAACCGCCTCATTCGGAACTCAATGGCCGAGTGCAGATGCAGCTCCGACAGCATAACCCACAACCTAATGTAACGCATAACCACGTGTAACCCATAACCCGTAGCAAAAAATTGACTTACCAGGAGTCGTCGTCAGATAATTCCAATTGATCGATGTCGATAAATTCTTCCATGTTCGTTTCGAGGTCGACAGACGATAAATTCAACTGTTTGAGGCCATTATCCGAGACGTAACCGCCGAGAGACTTGGATCTCCTTTCTTTACCCGAACCTTTGGTCTTTTCTTCCTTCACTTGATTTTTCAGCTGTTCGTTTTGAAATTCCAATTTCTGTACCAAACACTGCAACTTCTTAACTTCTTCGTAAGGATCCGCGCTCTTTTCCTTAATCGAATTCATTTTCTTTTTCCCAACTTTTATCAAAAAAATAAATAAATAAATAAATAAAACTTTGTTTTTGAAATTCGATAAGCCTAATTTTCCAATAAGTACATTTTCGGCGAATATACAATTAAATATGCGTCGAAAGTGACCGTAAACGTTCGATTATTTCATATTATTTCAAATAAATCGGATATAACTAAACGTAACGTTGGAAAAATAAAATTAATAACTTTCGTAAAACATCTGCAGAAGACCTTTCGTGACTCACAGCTGAAATTGGCACCGCAACGCCACTCGCGGGATTTTTTTTTTCCCCCCCCCTTATTTTTAATATAATTAAACCTAACCTGAACTCGTACCGTCGAATCGAAAATTTCATTAAAATGGAAGAATTTGTCTTAAAATTGTTTTCGGTTGGTAAAATTTAATTAATTAAACAATCGTACTTTTGTGAATATATAAATATTACGTTATCAATCCAAAAGGGTCAAATAACCCCAGGAATTTTTCGGTGTGTGGTCTATCATGATATATCGGACTGCAATCCTCGGCATACAGCCGCCCCATTGCGGGTTTGGTAAAAATGGCCCACTTAATGCTCACGAGGAATAAAGAGTTAACACTAGATAAATTAAGCTTTTTGCCATTTTTTTAACAGTTAAAAATATAAAAAGTTTTTTATTATAAAATATCATAACAGATGGCGCAACTAAATCTTGCTGGAAAGTTAAGCAACTCGTTGCTGGATTTTTTTTATTTACTATTTTCAGTTATTTTAATGAAGAAAAAAGAACATATTTACCTTTCTGAAGTTTTCTGAATTGATAACCTGCCGCGAAATAACGAAAATATATGAGATAAAGCCGGAATTTTCGGAAATTCTTACATTTCAATATGGCGCCCAGCCTATATGAACAACAAAAATTCAAAATTATTATTGGTTAATTCAAACTTTATCAAAAATAATAACAACAGCAATTATTTATTGTGACATCGTCACAATGCTCTCGATTTTAGTATTGTGTTGCCCCCTGTACAGTACATCATACTTTTCAAGTTAATTAATGTAGTTACGATATTTTTTATTGCAGGATAACGCTAGGTATACCACAAATTACGCGCTCCATCTGAGCAATAAGCTGTCCTCGGCGCCAGGTAGGTATTAGTCCATCAATCGGAAAGAATTTTAGAACCCGGAAACAAATTGATGGACAAGATAGATGACGACCTAAGAAAAAGGACTGACGATGTAACGCTGTTGTTCGCAGAGGAGTGGAGAAAAGATAGATAGACATCGAGGTCTTCGGTCTACGACTGCACTATATTGAGGACGAAGAAGCACGAATTTCGTTATTTAATGGGCCACCAGTGGTCAAGCAGTCTTCGTACCCTGAACACTGGGAGTTCGGTCGAGGGTTCGCGCTTCGCTCGGACGGGTTGGCCATGTGGAGTTTTCCGGATTTTCTGCACGTTTGTAACACGTAAATAGGGGCCAGTTTCCCTTAAAAAGACCTCCCGGAAGACAGATCGCCCAAGTGTTGCGTTGCCATAACTTAAATAAAATGATAAAAATAATCTTAACAAATGAGAGCAAGTGGAAAAAATGCCCTCCAAATTTTCCAGAAAGGAATCCGAAATTATCGGTCAAGATTGAAGAGTAGGGAAGTGATAGTACAGGAAAAGGATTTTCTTCTCGTAGCCATTCTCAATCATGCAGTTTCTCATTGGTACCAGTGATGGACTATGGCACAGGCGCAAGAAGCGCATTCTTTGGACCTCCGAAAGACAGCAGTTTCAGAAAGAGATACAATCTGCGAATCTCAAGCACAAATATCTTCATCTAGAGTCTAGACAAATTGCCATTAGTCAAACCATAAACGGCCTAGTAAACCTGTTAAACCTGTCCTATTTCGAGAGATGGTAGGACTTAAATTAATAATGAACATTTCAATTTCAATTGAATATTGTAAGTATTTTGATCTTTATTAATGTATTAATTACTGTATATTGTATACAACTGAATACAAGAACGATTATTAGAATATGAATGCATAATTTACTCGTTATTAGCATTTACAATTTTTCATAAAACTCATCTGTCCACACTAAATTAAGCCTTTTGCCATTTTATAATAATTAATAATATAAAATAATTTTATAACAAAATCTCATAACAGATGCCGCCACAGACAATTTTATTTATTATATTTGATAATATAACATGAGATTTTATTTTAAAAATAACTATCGGCCGAAAAGTTACGCAACTCGTTGCTTGATTTTTTTTAATTTTAGCAAAAGGAATGAATATAAAACAAAAAATATTTTGATGCAAAAAAAAATAAAAAAAAAATAAATATTTCTCAACAATACGAAATAGCCCATTGTTAGTCTATTGTTGCTCTGCATTGTTGAAAGTCGAGTAACTGCGTTTCGGAAAGAAATTTTATTTAATTTATTGATATTGCGTCAATTTCAATTGAATATTGTAAGTATTTTGATCTTTATTAATGTATTAATTACTGTATATTGTATACAACTGAATACAAGAACGATTATTAGAATATGAATGCATAATTTTTTAATATTTTCCAAACATAGTAAAATTAAATTTCTCATATTCGTTGATTTTATTATAATAAATTTACATTTAAATTTTTTTACAGATTAATGATGTTACTTTATGGGTACTGCCGATTAATTCTTATCGGAGTCCAATTATTTCTACCTTTGTGGTGTTTATTGGCTGTTATATACACTCTGATTGAGATTGGTGTGTATATTTCGAAAATAATATATGTTCGACGTAGGAGTCGAAAGGATTCCATAGACCAATTCCGCTTGGTTCGATATCAGAAAAGATCGAAACAAGAATTTGCTCAGAATCACCCAAGTTATAATGATTATTATAATCGTAAGGAAATAGAGAAAACAAGGAAAAATTCTTGTCCTGAGTCGTCAAATATTTCTATAAATATAAGAAGCAATAATACAAAAAATAATGAAATTTTCAGTTCATACAGTTCTAGTAGACGAATAATGGAAAAAATGCAATTGAAGAGTTCCATTAATCAGTCTGCTGAAGAAAAGCCTACTGAAAATATATCTGAAAGCAATTCTTCGATAGCCATTCCAACAACATTAAAAAAAGGCATATCTTATCGAAGAAATCTTCTCATATATAACTCTCTTGGAACTCGAATACAAACTGAACCTATACCTGCTCATCTTCCTGCATTAGAAGAACGTAATAGAGATAAAAAGTTGGAAGAAAAACGACTGGAATGGTTGTTGTCTGGAGTAAAACAAGCCTGCAAGAAGAAAGATTGTACAAAAAGTGGTATTTATTGCGGTAGCCAACAAGGCTTGGTTCGATATCAGGAAGGTTCGAAACAAGAATTTGCTCAGTATCAAAAAGTGGATCTAAATTACTCAAATTGCAATGATTATTATAATCAGAAGCAAATAGATAAGAAAAAGAAAAGAACTTAAACATTGAAAGACAGTATTGAAAAAGTTCAATACATAAATAATATATTTTATTTATTATATTATTACGTTAAATATATTCAATATATTCGTTTTCTAAATTATTTCCATACTGTATATATATTACAGCACAATTTTTTGTATATAAATCATTTTAAAACAAATTTTATTTAATAAATAATATTTATATATCGGTAACGAAAAGTTCTTTATGCTTTATTTTATACACAATCAATTTTAACAATACATTTTCAGTAGTTAAAAAAAATCATCTCTAAACGGTATCTTAATTTTTACATTTCTCTTCCTCTGATGACATAAAACTTATTAGGATATACAGTAGACCTCCCTATAACGCGAAGATACGTTCCTCGTTATACGAATTTCGCGCTGTAGGAATCCTTGGGCTGTGATTGGCTCACGTATTTGACACGTGTGAAGTTTACGGACTACGGCTGTTTGAAAGGTTTTCTTCCATAAAATTAATCGATTCTAGACTAATTCGACTTAACATTTCCAAAATACGTACAGTATATTTTTTTTTTGGAAATAATCCATATAAACTACGCTATAAACAAAAAATTGTAGGATTACTTACCGAGTGTGCACCATT